AAAAAATTCATCAAATTCGACATTTTTAGGTGGGGACACAGATTTTTTAGAAATTAAGTTCCGATCTCAACGAGATATGACATTCCACATTCCGACCAGTATTCGCTGAGTTATGATCAAAATACTGACTTTTGGATAGAGGTTAGGGCAAACTCCATTTCGCATTTTCGGAAAGGGGTTACATCATCAATTTTTGCGAAAATTCATCAAATTTGACATTTTTAGGTGGGGACACAGATTTTTTAGAAATTAAGTTCCGATCTCAACGAGATATGACATTCCACATTGCGACCAGTATTTGCTGAGTTATGATCAAAATACTGACTTTTGGGAAGAGGTTAGGGCAAACCCCATTTCGCATTTTCGGAAAGGGGTTACATCATCAATTTTTGCAAAAATTCATCAAATTTGACATTTTTAGGTGGGGACACAGATTTTTTAGAAATTAAGTTCCGATCTCAACGAGATATGACATTCCACATTCCGACCAGTATTCGCTGAGTTATGATCAAAATACTGACTTTTGGAAAGAGATTAGGGCAAACCCAATTTCGCATTTTCGGAAAGGGGTTACATTATCAATTTTTGCTAAAAATTCATCAAATTTGACATTTTTAGGTGGGGACACAGATTTTTTAGATATTAAGTTCCGATCTCAACGAGATATGACATTCCACATTCCGACCAGTATTCGCTGAGTTATGATCAAAATGCTGACTTTTGGGAAGAGATCATGGCAAACCCAATTTCGCATTTTCGGAAAGGGGTTACATCATTAATTTTTTAAAAAAATTCATAAAATTTGACATTTTTAGGTGGGGACACAGATTTTTTAGAAATTAAGTTCCGATCTCAACGAGATATGACATTCCACATTCCGACCAGTATTCGCTGAGTTATGATCAAAGTACTGACTTTTGGATAGACGTTAGGGCAAACCCCATTTCGCATTTTCGGAAAGGGGTTACATCATCAATTTTTGCTAAAAATTCATCAAATTTTACATTTTTAGGTGGGGACACAGATTTTTTAGAAATTAAGTTCCGATCTCAACGAGATATGACATTCCACATTCCGACCAGTATTCGCTGAGTTATGATCAAAATACTGACTTTTGGGAAAAAATCAGGGCAAACCCAATTTCGCATTTTCGGAAAGGGGTTACATCATCAATTTTTGAAAAAAATTCATAAAATTTGACATTTTTAGGTGGGGACACAGATTTTTTAGAAATTAAGTTCCGATCTCAACGAGATATGACATTCCACATTCCGACCAGTATTCGCTGAGTTATGATCAAAATACTGACTTTTGGGAAGAGATCAGGGCAAACCCAATTTCGCATTTTCGGAAAGGGGTTACATCATCAATTTTTGCAAAAAATTCATCAAATTTTACATTTTTAGGTGGGGACACAGATTTTTTAGAAATTAAGTTCCGATCTCAACGAGATATGACATTCCACATTCCGACCAGTATTCGCTGAGTTATGATCAATATACTGACTTTTGGGAAAAAATCAGGGCAAACCCAATTTCGCATTTTCGGAAAGGGGTTACATTATCAATTTTTGCTAAAAATTCATCAAATTTGACATTTTTAGGTGGGGACACAGATTTTTTAGAAATTAAGTTCCGATCTCAACGAGATATGACATTCCACATTCCGACCAGTATTCGCTGAGTTATGATCAAAATGCTGACTTTTGGGAAGAGATCATGGCAAACCCAATTTCGCATTTTCGGAAAGGGGTTACATCATTAATTTTTTAAAAAAATTCATAAAATTTGACATTTTTAGGTGGGGACACAGATTTTTTAGAAATTAAGTTCCGATCTCAACGAGATATGACATTCCACATTCCGACCAGTATTCGCTGAGTTATGATCAAAATGCTGACTTTTGGGAAGAGATCATGGCAAACCCAATTTCGCATTTTCGGAAAGGGGTTACATCATTAATTTTTTAAAAAAATTCATAAAATTTGACATTTTTAGGTAGGGACACAGATTTTTTAGAAATTAAGTTCCGATCTCAACGAGATATGACATTCCACATTCCGACCAGTATTCGCTGAGTTATGATCAAAGTACTGACTTTTGGATAGACGTTAGGGCAAACCCCATTTCGCATTTTCGGAAAGGGGTTACATCATCAATTTTTGCAAAAAATTCATCAAATTTTACATTTTTAGGTGGGGACACAGATTTTTTAGAAATTAAGTTCCGATCTCAACGAGATATGACATTCCACATTCCGACCAGTATTCGCTGAGTTATGATCAATATACTGACTTTTGGGAAAAAATCAGGGCAAACCCAATTTCGCATTTTCGGAAAGGGGTTACATCATCAATTTTTAAAAAAATTCATCAAAATTTTACATTTTTAGGTGGGGACACAGATTTTTTAGAAATTAAGTTCCGATCTCAACGAGATATGACATTCCACATTCCGACCAGTATTCGCTGAGTTATGATCAATATACTGACTTTTGGGAAGAGATCAGGGCAAACCCAATTTCGCATTTTCGGAAAGGGGTTACATCATCAATTTTTGCAAAAAATTCATCAAATTTTACATTTTTAGGTGGGGACACAGATTTTTTAGAAATTAAGTTCCGATCTCAACGAGATATGACATTCCACATTCCGACCAGTATTCGCTGAGTTATGATCAATATACTGACTTTTGGGAAGAGATCAGGGCAAACCCAATTTCGCATTTTCGGAAAGGGGTTACATCATCAATTTTTGCAAAAAATTCATCAAATTTTACATTTTTAGGTGGGGACACAGATTTTTTAGAAATTAAGTTCCGATCTCAACGAGATATGACATTCCACATTCCGACCAGTATTCGCTGAGTTATGATCAAAGTACTGACTTTTGGATAGACGTTAGGGCAAACCCCATTTCGCATTTTCGGAAAGGGGTTACATCATCAATTTTTGCAAAAAATTCATCAAATTTGACATTTTTAGGTGGGGACACAGATTTTTTAGAAATTAAGTTCCGATCTCAACGAGATATGACATTCCACATTCCGACCAGTATTCGCTGAGTTATGATCAAAATACTGACTTTTGGGAAGAGATCAGGGCAAACCCAATTTCGCATTTTCGGAAAGGGGTTACATCATCAATTTTTTAAAAAAATTCATAAAATTTGACATTTTTAGGTAGGGACACAGATTTTTTAGAAATTAAGTTCCGATCTCAACGAGATATGACATTCCACATTCCGACCAGTATTCGCTGAGTTATGATCAAAATACTGACTTTTGGGAAGAGATCAGGGCAAACCCAATTTCGCATTTTCGGAAAGGGGTTACATCATCAATTTTTGCAAAAAATTCATCAAATTTTACATTTTTAGGTGGGGACACAGATTTTTTAGAAATTAAGTTCCGATCTCAACGAGATATGACATTCCACATTCCGACCAGTATTCGCTGAGTTATGATCAATATACTGACTTTTGGGAAAAAATCAGGGCACCCCAATTTCGCATTTTCGGAAAGGGGTTACATCATCAATTTTTTAAAAAAATTCATAAAATTCAACATTTTTAGGTGGGGACACAGATTTTTTAGAAATTAAGTTCCGATCTCAACGAGATATGACATTCCACATTCCGACCAGTATTCGCTGAGTTATGATCAATATACTGACTTTTGGGAAGAGATCAGGGCAAACCCAATTTCGCATTTTCGGAAAGGGGTTACATCATCAATTTTTGCAAAAAATTCATCAAATTTTACATTTTTAGGTGGGGACACAGATTTTTTAGAAATTAAGTTCCGATCTCAACGAGATATGACATTCCACATTCCGACCAGTATTCGCTGAGTTATGATCAATATACTGACTTTTGGGAAGAGATCAGGGCAAACCCAATTTCGCATTTTCGGAAAGGGGTTACATCATCAATTTTTGCAAAAAATTCATCAAATTTTACATTTTTAGGTGGGGACACAGATTTTTTAGAAATTAAGTTCCGATCTCAACGAGATATGACATTCCACATTCCGACCAGTATTCGCTGAGTTATGATCAATATACTGACTTTTGGGAAGAGATCAGGGCAAACCCAATTTCGCATTTTGGGAAAGGGGTTCAATTTTTAAAAAAAAATCATAAAATTCAACATTTTTAGGTGGGGACACAGATTTTTTAGAAATTAAGTTCCGATCTCAACGAGATATGACATTCCACATTTCAACCAGTATTCGCTGAGTTATGGTCAAAACACTGACTTTGGGGAAAAAATCAGAGCAAACCCAATTTCGCATTTTCGGAAAGGGGTTACATCATCAATTTTTGCAAAAAATTCATCAAATTTTACATTTTTAGGTGGGGACACAGATTTTTTAGAAATTAAGTTCCGATCTCAACGAGATATGACATTCCACATTGCGACCAGTATTCGATGAGTTATGATCAAAATACTGACTTTTGGAAAAATAGAGCAAACCCAATTTCGCATTTTCGGAAAGTACATCATCAATTTTGCAAAAAATTCATCAAATTTTACATTTTTAGGTGGGGACACAGATTTTTTAGAAATTAAGTTCCGATCTCAACGAGATATGACATTCCACATTGCGACCAGTATTCGATGAGTTATGATCAAAATACTGGATTTCGGGAAGAGATCAAGGAAAGAGCTTTCATCTATATTTTTCAGGATGAAATGCAGTTCGTCAGAGAATTAAATTACAAGTTCAACCATATATTGGGAACCGTACTTAATAATATGCGCCTTGTAAACACAATAACAGTAAACCTATATATACTATTTATATACATACACTTTATTGCATTGTATTATAAATAGTTTTGTGTTTCTAAATTATTTTTATCGCCAAGCAGCATAAACAGTTTTTGCAAAACAGGTTCACAACTCACTCTATACAACGGGACATATCTTATCACTGCCAACTGATAAGCACTGCTTCGGAGATTACAACAATTGCCTCACTCGACCCATGGGCGAGGCACAGCGCTGGCTGCTCAGAAAAGGTACCGCTCAGTTCGAAAGGAGCAGCAGGTGAAACAAGGTAGAGCTGCAGAGTGCGTTGCCAGCGTATATAGATAAAGCTATAGTGAATTATTTACTCGTAATTAGTAAACGATGTTGTGAATAAAGTGCAAGCTGGAGCAAAGGACTCCCTGCTCCCGTTCATTGTAATCCAAAAAGACATACCAAAAACTCAAGGAATTTCAAGAATGGCTGTTTCGAGTTACGCCAAACTGCTTATCTAATCACAGTGCCTTAAATTATGTTAGCTTTACCAAGCTGAAAATTGGGGCGCAGGTCCACAGTGTTCTTTTGTGTATTTTACACCTGACTCACTCGCCTATGTATCAGCAATCGCTAGGTATCACCATTATCAGTGGTTTGGTTTTACCGATCTAAATGGGACGAACTACAACTGTACTGCGGATCTCACATGGACTGATATCGGAATGTGTATATAGTATATATAGAGTGGACTTGACTCATGAGCATTTACCGTTCTTTTTTATCAAATTGATAACAGAATATTTGCAAATGACGTCACCGTCAAACTTTGTTAGGAAACGGAAGTGAATTCTATTAGATTATTCGGATTAACTTTATCCCTTTGCCGAAAATGTGTGATATTTAGTATGGGAGACTCTGCAAGAAATAGAGCAGTGTACAATGTGCAGTTTAAATAAGTTGTAATGACTAACAGTTAAGATCATTATTTGGGCGTTTACAATGAACAAACATTGACGCATCGAAAGCTTATACCTCTGACCATTGATAAGGCACCTGCGATAAGAAGTGTGTAAAAGCTGCCAACCTATATTAGAGTTACAAATCGGAGATAGGCGGGACTTACTGGCTAGCTGCTTTCCGTGTCAGGGTCAATTGGGAATTTAAGAGTTTAATTCATTAAGTATAGTATAGTATAGTGACCCGATCACTTTGTTCACAGATTCACAACGAAAACGAAATACCCTACCATGAAACCACAACAGCTTCTGGCAGCAGCTGCCTGCCTGGGTGTGGTCCTCATCCTGGGGACACAAGCACAGGAGAACGCAATGCTGCAGATTCCCCCCTCACTGATCGAGTGCTACAACACGTCGTACTTCATGAATCGGGATAATCGCCTTCCGGCCAACATGGACACGCTCATCTCGCTTATCGAGAAGGTGGAAAACAGCTACGCCGCCACTTCAGGTGTCCAAGCCGACATCCGCACCGTGGCAGTGTCCTTGTTGCATCGCTTTCGTCAGGACGGCATAAGAAAGGCGGCGGGAATCAATGTCGTTGATGGCGTCATACCGTACAGTCCGACAGGCTTTCAGTTTCCCAAATTTAAAATTCTGCTGTCACGGCTGATTCCGGGCAATGCCAACAGCTTCCCCAACAGTTCTCTAACCAGCGTTGAGCGGTGCTCCCTTCACTTCATGCTGTCGAGTACTTTTGACACCAGACCGCGTGGCGATGAAAACACCGTGTGCAACCAGCTTTCCCAGTACCGGGCCCAGCGACTGCCGCGGTCCCTAAAGACTGATTACGAAAACAACTTCATAGGCGATGTTGAATTGCTGGAGTCCCGCGCGAAACGAGGACGGATGTCCTCCGCCCCCATGTCTAAGTCCGAACAGTACGGCGAACTGGACTACGAATCCGACTGGGCCTACGCCGGCACGGAAATCAGCCAGTGCCCCGTTGAAGATGGCCTTGTTCGGACGCGCTGGGGAACTGTATCAGCAGGCACTGTGATTGCCGGCATCGCCGCTGGTGTTCAGCAGCAATCAGTCCAGGTGAACACCCTGCTGGCTCTTGCCTCCCAGCGACGAGCACGTGGTCGCACCATGTCCCAGACAACCAACTCCATTGACAACAGGTGGGCCGCGACTCTGGCCGGGGATTTGGCTGAGGTCGCGTTGGTCCAGCTTCCGGGGTCGAGCAGTGCGGCTTCTGTCGGAGCTACTGGCGGATGGAATGACACAGTTCTGCCCCACTGGTACTTCCTGTCGCAGCGCAACAGCCTTGAGGCAACTGACGCCGAGATCCGCGGCGGACTTGATGGCCTGATTCTGGCGAAGAACGTGGCCACTTGGAGAACTCAGGCATCGAGCCTCAAGCTTTCCCAATTGCTACGCATGTACTACTCCACAAACGGAGTCCTCAGTTCCGGAATAAATGCATGCAGCAGGCAGAGCCAGTTCACGAATGTGGCACCATCGCAGGAAATGGAGGACCAGACGAGCGCCTTTGCCCAGGTTCTGGATCGGGAGATGCAGCTGAAAGTCACATTACAGCAGTCCGCTATTCCGCAATTTGCCGGTAACGCCACCGTAGCACTGGTGACGTATGTGCGTAAGTACCTGTTCCTTCCTTAGAACTATCGCGGAACCACCTTGCACTTACTCTGATCCCAAGACCTCCATTTTCCAAATCTTAGCTCGAAAGGTCTTGTCATTTCACTTTAAAATTCCCTTTCCGATGCTCGTTTCCATTACGATTTCCCTTTATTCTGGATATTTCTCAAACAGCGCAATCCTTGAACGACGTGTCCTGCACGGCGACCACCAATCAGGACTTGACGGACGTCATAACTCCGATGACCAACCTGTACATTTTCTTGGATACCTCCTGGCAGTACAGCACCATTGTTGACTATGTGGCGTAAGATGTCTGTTAACGCACCGAAGATCTTCGTTTAAACTAATCTGCTTTGCAGGTATGTCATCCAGCAGTTGAATATCCATCCCTATGCCAGCACAGTCACCATGCTCTCGGCACAAGACGGGTCCGTCATCGTGAACACCACCAACTACATCACGGATGTCTACCAGCAATGGAACGTCACAACGCATGCCACATGTAAGCTCACACTCATGAGGTATTTAACTCGGCTTAAGAACAGTCTCTACAGATACGCAAGGATTCAGCCTGCCCAATGTGCTGCGAACCATTCAGAACCTTACCCAGAACCTTATGAATGTGGAAAAGACCAATTCGAGCTTGAGTGGTCACTCCCTGGTAGCTCTAATCATTCCCAATCAGCAAACCGTCAATGACGGCGACTCCAGCTACGCCACTACGGAAATCCAGTACATTCAGGAGCAGATTCCGGACTTGCGCTTTATTTACTACGGCGGAGGAAGCATCCAGAGGTTTTCGAGCTTCGTCCGCGATCCCTCCCAGGATCTGTTCTCCCTTACAGTGGGCAGTACCGCGGCTACCTCGGCGGGACCTGTGGCAAAGCGCATTATCCAGAGTAAGCCAACAGTAGTTTTCTTTTCCAGAATAAGTCTCTCTTGACATTTTCTATTTTGCAGTTCCTCGACGCGTTATCAACCCCCGTTGTGGGTCGACCTGGTACACCAACAGCTGGGGCACTGACCAAACAGCCCAGTTCGTGGGGCCCGGCAAGGTCAACTTCTACCGAGTCTCTGCTAACTATTTCTTCGGAACTGGAGCGAACCGCTACTTCACCATCCAGTCCCAGAACGGAGGAAGCTACACCATTTGCTCCTCCCGCACCTATGCGTGGCCGCAGCAAAACTCAACTACCAGTTCCTCGGGAACCACCATTGATCAGAGTTGCACTCAGATAAGTGGAAATAGTTACAGTTACGATCTTTCGAGCGCATGCAATGGGTACTACACCATCACCCAGTGTCCGGACTTGTACGTGTCCGTGCAAGCCACCTCGAACACCACATCCTGCACACAGGATGCCTGCCAGACCCCCGACCAGTGGCGGTACATCATGTCGATGGTCAACATGGGCTGCTACAGCGGAGTCTCTGGCCTAGCGGCCAGCCTGCTGACCATCCTGCTCGCCCTGTCGGTTCACAGGTTGATTCAGTGATCGGAGGCTAGTGTATGGTAGTTATAGTGGTGCAGCGGCAGAGTCCGAAGCGCACCTTCCCGTCCCCCAGCACAAGAACTATTTGTCGTTTAACATTAATCTTATACTTCTTCTTAAATAAGCTGTATGTTCCAGAGAAACAGTCCTGAATAAACTTCCCCATTCTAACCCCACTGCTTATTTTTATTTACCTTGAAGAGTGGTTCCCGATAGACTCTCTGCCCGAAAGAAAGACAGCACTAAATCTCAAATTCGTTTTACGTTTTAGAATCTATGGACTACTTTCCCACTCAACAATGGTCCGATATCTCCAACCTGACCACGGTAATGGCTGATATATATGTGTTTGTCGACACATACTGGCCCTACAGCTGGGTTGTTGATTACGTCGCGTAAGTACGATCAGCGGGAGTATTGGCGAGCGAACTTAAATTGAGTCTTTTATATTTTTACAGTTATGTTCTTCAGGGCCTGAACATCAACCCGTACGCTAGTAAGGTAACCGTTTTCGCAGCTTCTGACACCTCAGTGATAGTCAATACAACCGACTACATAATCAACGTCTATCAAGAATGGAACTCCACATCGCACTCTTGGCGTAAGGAACTAACAAGCCCTGGCTGACATCCTACTAAACGTCTCTTTTTGCAGATCCAACTGGCTTCAATCTGCCACTTATCCTAAACACCCTAAGCACTACGGTTGAAGATCTGCTTGAGGCGGATAGGGCTACTGACAATCTTGGAGGAAGATCGTTAGTTGCCCTCCTCGTACCAAGTCCGCTGTCCTACGTGGACGAGCACGACTACGACTATTGCCAACGATATTTGGAGCGCCTGCGGTGGCGTCTGCCCAACTTGCACTTTATCTACTACGGAGGAGGAGCCCTGGTGAGGTTCCATGACTTTGTTCGGGACCCAAGCACGGATTTGTTTCTTTTAAACACCGAGAAGCCACCAGAGACATGTGGGTGCCCCGTCGTTACACGGATTCGGCAAGGTGAGCCTTCTTATTAGCCACTAATAGATACAAGATACTATTAGAAATCCCTTTCTAGTGCCTCGTCGGATTTCCAATCCTCGCTGCTACTCTAACGGCGCTATAAGCGAGTTCGGAACCAACTCTCTGAAACAATTTGGTCGCTTGGGCACTATTAATTTCTACAGACTGGATGCACTTTATCTGCCGAGTAGGCAGAGCATGCGCTACCTCAAAATCTCCCCCATAAGTCAGATTATTTTCACCGTTTGCACTTCTCGGAGCATCGAACGACCCTTTAGGAACCTGAGTGCGCCACTAAGGACGGAGGAGAGCTGCGAGTCGACCGCTCTGGGATCATTCAGCTACGATCTCACTGACGCCTGTGTTGGCTACGACTTTGAGCCATGTCCCCCATTATTCTTTTCAGTGCAGGCTCAGAGCTTTGGCGAGATTTCATGTACAGTCGAGGCTTGTCAAACCCCAGATGAGGCACAGTACTCAGTCAGTTTGAACAACCTTGGATGCAATGATGCTACCGCCCTAACCTTAAGCCTTGCTTTAACTGCACCCGCGTTCATTCTAATATCGTTCAGCTTTTAAATTTAAATTCGAAATACCAAAACCCATTAAACTTCCATACCCCTATACAAATAAACATTATTTATAGTTTAATTAATTTAATCTATCTAAAATCCACATAACTCATAAAAGTGAATTCGCTTCAGATTGGATTTACTTCCGCTTGTTTTTAAAGCGCCATCTCTTGGCTCTCTGCTCTACAGCAATATCAGTGTCTAATGTGAAGGTGAATGTATAGAAAGATTATCTTTGATTTATTTAAACTTCCACTACATTTCAAACTTCACTTTTCTAGTTCTTCAGATACGTTCCATGTAAATAGAAGTGGAAAATGTATTTTACAGGAGTAGGTAGTTGTGGCGACAGCTATTGCACATTTGTACCGAAGTGTGGCGACACCTATCTTATATTTCTACATACGTGACGCGACACCTACAATACACTTATCTACACCACATATTACACGGTTGTAGATACGAGTGGCGACACCTATGCGACATGAGTTAAATTATCCCTCTATAGACACGTAATGGGCGATCTCTACCGGTGGTCTGCCTTAGCATAGCTGAAACGGGTAGACGCACAGTGGTATTAACCACGAATAACAAAATTATAAAATAACTATATTAATACGAGCCGAAAATAAAATATTTCAACCCTCTCATTAATTTAAAAAAAAAACTTTCTTAATATTTGTTAACGGAAAATAGTTAACTTCGTATTGCAGTTTACGGATGCGATTAAATACTTAAATATTTAAGTAAACTTAATTATTGTTCATATCTGTTGGGAAAGCTGATCTTGGCAACCCAGAGATAAATGTACATAATATTAATGCGGAAAATAGGTTTTGTATTTATTTTTGCAGGGATTAATGTGTATTGTAATAGGTGCTGTGAATAAATGGAAACATCGTGAAGTGCGGGAAAGAGTCACTTTAATTTATGAAATGTCAAAACACTCAAGCATCCTGCAGACATCCTGCCTTTATGACATTTTAATAATCTAAAAATGGTTGCAGGTCCACACTACCTTCTAGCGTTCGAATTCCCGAATATTGCAAAGAAAGAAAAACATCAATGTAGCTCTTTGGTTTTCTGATTTAATACCTATTTTTTTAGAGCTCTGTCAACCACCAAAGTAGACGCCAGCTCCCGCTCCCTATGGCCTATCTGAGGAACAGAAGGCTCTCCTTTTGTTATGGCCAAGAGAGTAGGAGTTTTTGGCGCTTTCTAATCTTAATCAAGCGAAAGGATGAACAGACAGCGAGGGTGGGCTACCCATGCAGTAGGGAAAATTCAAATCAAAACTCAAAGAGTGAGGTTTGTATCAGGAACATAACTTAAAACCAGGGTCACGTGTGTTATGTGGCATTACGGCGGACAATTCAATTCAATTCTCACCTATACTGTACTATCTTAAAAGCACAAACATTACATTAATCATTACGTTGTTTGATTCTGAAACCTCTTTAAGTCTCAGTATTCTTTTGGACTGTTTCCAGTATTTCATTCATTTTAGTCTTTTCTGCTTTACATAAGCATATCAGCACGCTTAACTGTGCGATGACTCTTTAATCGAGGGCACCGTTTACGACACATCAAGTATACGTAAGACAAAGTTCTTGGGTTGTTTGTCGAAAAAGTTTTCCCTTAACGAGCCTTGAATACACTTTTGGTTGCACCATCTTAAGTTGCTCTTTGGTAGAGTTATTTAAGGAAATGTAACACTGGGTTTAAGACAACTGTTGTTAAAAATGAATTCAATTAGAAATTAAGAATGTAAAACACTGCTAAGTAGAAACTTTAAATCCGTAATCTAATAGATCGCATTGTTTCCTAACTAACAGACAGATCAACTTAATCCAATCTGTCAGAAAACCGCAGCCCAACTCAACTCATTTCATTTTGGCGTCTGACAAATGCTGCCCCAAGACACAGGAGCTCGAGTTTCTATATGCAACCGGCCTGCGTCTTTAAGAACCCGCACATGCCCAACAATGCCACCGGCTGTGACCGCAGAAGAGTGCCCAAGACCGACCTATTTGCAGTTGAGAATGTGTCTAAGAAAATATTATTGCTGACTGTGCATCGGGAGTTGATGAAATACTTTCATATCATGGGACGCAGAGGAGGGGCTGAGTCGCATATCAGTGTCCTGACAGGCGAGCTCAGGACATGCAAAGGGCGACCGCAAATCAAACTTGCTGGTAAAGTTTCTGGCCCCGAGCAGGGTAACATGTGATAAGTTTATTGTCTTGCCGAATGGCACTGGGCCGGAGAGGAGTGAAAAAAGGACCCAGATCCAATATCACATTTCGTAAGGGAGAATGTGCTTTCTTTGTAAATAAATTAAGTTGTCTTGCCCACAAATATTAATTGCTTAATTAGCATATGCGTCTGGTGTCGCCGAAGGAACCCAAAATCCATCCGTACAAAAGTTTATTCGGGGTGGACACTTAAGGACGGACAGTGACATTTCCAACAGAAAACTCGCCTTGAGAAAATGCTTGTTTGACTGAGGTGAAGCCACCTCATATATTTGCTCAACAGGACACGTGCCCTGTGGATGGCTAACTTCGAATATCAAATTATTCTCAATTATCGAGCTTTAAGAAAAACTTTAGTGTCCCGCACAGGGGAGAAGCATGAACTTAAAGAGGTTACTGCAATGCGTATCGTTTTAAAACATATTTAATTAGAGCACAAGAAAAGTATAAGGTCCAAAAATAAAAAAAGGAAGCTGGCTCCAAAAAATGTATATACCCAAGTACTTTATGACTGCCGAAAAAAAAACACGTATGCCGCGTATGAAAATTTCCACAGCCGAGACGGAGGGTTGTTATTCATTTTGGGACTTTAATTATTGTTGTTTCTGCTTTGTACATCAGCTATTGTTCCTCATTTTTTAGAAGCTTGAGATGTAGGTTATCGATTTTTCGTTTTAATTCACATAGAAATATTCTCAATTCACGAAGTCCAGTAGAGATTCTCCAAAACATGTAAATCTAAGACAAAAAACCGTTTCTTTCCTATCTTTTGTAACTTTATGATGATTATTTAGTCGATTGAAAATGCAACATGTCTTGTAAGGAAGTAATGTGGGGTATTCAAGTTCATTGTTCGTTTTTTACGGACTTCATTTGCGAAGAAATAATAACCTTGCAGGGAGGAGCGAGGGACAGGCAAACTTTTTGCCTCATAAGGATAATCCGTGCGCTCCTATACCTTCCCTGGAACAATTTCATTTACTTTAAACGAAGAGGACACGAGAGGACGTAAGAATCCTTAACGAAGGGTACCCATATCCTCGCGTTTTAATTGCAGATACCAAGGAAACCGCTAGCTAACAATCCATTAACTTTTTGCCACTCAACTGGGAAAACTAAAGGAAATGGGCACCCAAGGCAGTTGCTTTGCATGCAAAAGGGAAAGAGAACTTTGTACACTTTTTCTTTTTTTCTTTTTTAGGTTCACATCGCAGCTGTAGTGGGCTCTTCATCATCAGCAGCAGAAGCACCAGCAGCAGCAGAACCACCAGCAGAGGCGCAAATTATGAAGAATAAAGGACTCTCCAGGCAGGACTACAGGCAGACATACGCGTGTATTATTATGTGCTTATAATAAGTTTTTGCTTTCTGTTTCCACTCGGGGTACCGCGAGTTTTTCACTGTTTGGGTTTTTAAAAGTAATTTTTGTTTGCTTTTTATTTATTTGCATCCAAGTTTTTTCGTTCCTCTGACTTTCGGAAGAATCTAGGCGAAAATTTAATAATTCCCAGGTGCTGAAAGCTGGGACAGGGTGAAGCCACATTTGGTTAGCTGGCTAGACCCGTGACATACTTTCCACTGCAATCTGTTTATTTCCGATTGACCCAAACATAATTTTATTTCTGCTTCAGCTCACCTTTAATAGATCTGCAAATAGGAAACGCTGTCACGGTCAACAACCCCAGGTTAACCCTTTCTAACCACCTTTGGAAAACTGTAGCCGGGACAAACAGCTGTTCAGGACGACCGGCAAGGGTCTGTGTTGTAAATTCAAATTCGATATGAGACTTCTTGATTATGAGGGTTAAAAATGCCCCACAGGATGCTGTGTGCGTGCCTCAGAGCGACACGGCATTGGCATCGCACACCCAATTTTCAATTTGGCGATAAGCATCTAATAAAACTTCCACACACACGCACATGTCCTTGGCCAAAAGACATGGGGATTCGAGTGCCTGGCCGGGTGTGATTAACGAAGTGTTGACCAAGTCAAAATTAATGCGAAACTCAGACTCTGATAAGAAAACTGACCGATGGAAACCCTTTTTTGGAAAGCATATGTGCGACCGTCCAAGGAGGAGTGCTGGGATGTGGAACGCTCTGGCTGGGGGATGGGAGTTTTGGGTCTGCAAACCATGTGCTAAGTGGCATGTGGTCAAGCGGCCACAAGTTTTGGGTTCATGGTCAAGAATAGTTTCAATTTTCGCCTTATGAGCAAACATTCATCAAATGTATTTCTGAAATTTTAAATGTCAAAACCCTGGCGCACTCCCCCGCAACGCCTTTTCCACAGCTGTGAGTTCAACCCTTTTCGATGCCGAAATGGGTTAACTGTCCGGTTTGCGAGTTTGAGTGTCCGGTTTTGGAATAATTAATCACACACTTGCATGCGATTTGTAAAGTTAATTACCGTGGCGAAAGCTCATATCAGAGGAGGGTTCCCTTCGGCTGTGTGTACACTCGCAGGCGGGTGAGTTGGCCCCGTATGTCTAAGTGCTCGCCTTGTCTCCAGTTACTGACAGCTTAGCACATATTCCAACTGGAGTAAATGCCGGGGCATTTATTATTCATGTCCGCCCACTTTCAATCTCCGCTCTAACTCCTACACATGCGACAGGGCAAACATTTGCCGGTGACAGCGTCGAGTCCTGTCCCTATCCTGGGATGACTCCACTGCAGAGGGTTTTCTGACGGCTCTTCTGGGCCATAATAGTAACTAGCCGTCTTTGGGCACCCGCACTTGCCAGAAGCTGTTTGGCTTAAAAATGCCCATAAAAAATTCATGGCTGGACACCGCATGGTGATGCAGCGGTCGGAAACAAGCTCGGTGCATTAGGTTGCTCAGAAGACTGCACAAATGCAAGAGATTGGCCATGTAGTTTCAGCCAAACGATACAGGAGTTCGTTTGAATAACAACTTCAAATTTGGAACCACAAACTTTAAACTAACCCAACAATGGATAGAAAAGTTCGCAAGTCATTTATTGATTTTGTTCTGCGTCTGCGAAACTTTAGTCAACATTTCTCTGGGCAGGGTGAGTTGACCTCCAAAGGAGGATGACAAGTGTGTTTGGGAATTGGCTTTTGGTTTTAATTTGATTTTGGAAATAGTTCGAGTTGGTCGTATGGTGACGGGCGTTCGCCTTGGGCGAATGTGACACCATAGAGCTGTGTCAATATGAAATTGGGATTGAATTGCCTCATGAACTATTTCAGCACTCACCATTACAGCTTTATGGAGCAATTACAAACGATTAACAATAATGAAAGTAATTACAGAAATGTTCTCTCATTAAACTTGAACTTTCCTGGGCGGCACGCAATGCTGATCCATGAGGGCATAAATAAATACAGAAAACAAAGACTTTCACACGAAAATTCATAAATTAATCAAAAATATTATTTGTTCTCAAAGGGGGTAAGGGACGCCGCCTACACGCGACAGTTGACCCTTTTGTTAATTAAATTTCAGAGACACTGAAAGCACATTTCGTGTGTGTGCCACGTTGATGTGCAAACAAGGAAGCAAATTGGTGTGGAGGAGAACTGAAATGTTTACCTTGATTACATGAATAGTATCAATAGTATCGCCTGGTCTGATAATCAAGGTCGATATAAATTTACGGCGGTTGGACTGGTCGGTGGTCGAAAGGACAATAAAAAGACCCCATATATTTTGGCCTATTGCGAGGATAAAGGGTTGTGACGACACAGACCCAGCGGGTAGTGACACCCTGGCAGCCCTTCGAGCCCTTCCAGCCGAAGCCACTATAGATAAATATTCAGATAGGTAGCCGGCAGGACATGGATTCCCTGCATATGATGTTTATCTTGTCGTCTATTAGCCCACATAAATTATTAACGCGCATTCGGAATGTGCATGTAGTTTATTAGCACTTGAGGACCCGGGCTCGAACTCGAACTCAAACTATTGCGTGTGCCCTTTTGATGTCCTTTGCATGTTTGGCTCTCTTGCCAAAATTATCCCGCTTCTCCATTTGTATTAATTTACATACGACACGCATTCTCGCACTTTGGCCATCATCCGCCGCCAGAAGGCCTAATGGGTTGACATTTATGATATATTTGTGTGGCCGAACGCTGGGTCGGATTCAATTAGTTGGCCCGAAACGGAAATATAACCAGTTATCGGATAGATTTCAAGAGACACATTTCAGCCAAACTGAAAAGAAAGTTGTGTTGACAATCTTAAAGAATAAGAATGTTTATGGCAATTTTGCTTAGCAAATGCTTTGCCCAAAATGACCTGGTTAATGAAAGAGCGTCCATATTCAAGATAAACAAACCTACATTGCTACATTACTATGTCAATCAGCATAAATTAAAGCCAATAAAAATCCACAGCGAATAAAAAATATTATCAGATAAAAGATATCACGGCTTCCTTTGATGCGGGCGGCATGGCGACCCCAAAGACCAAAATCGAATCAACGGCCGACAGAAAGCCAGAGATGGGGCGAAGTGCCGACAGCGGAGAAGGACATCGCAAACACCAAGGGCTGGACATCGACCGAAGCTGTCCTCGTCGCTGTTACTGACTTTTGTCAATAATTCAACTTATCACCGGCGGATATTGGAATGGAAAACCCAAAGGACAACACATCCTGCACCCCCGAGGGCGCGCCAATAAAAACAGATTTGAATGATGCAGTTTTAAATTTTTGGCTCCTGGCTTCTTATTGAAAGGTGTTCGCGCTTACCAAAAGAGGGGTAGTGCCTCGAGATGGTTTTCGCAGCGAAGTATTCAAATACTTCAACTCTAAACTTTGGGTGTCACTTCTTTGAATTCGTATTCTGCTTCTTAAAGGTCCATCCACCCTCCTGTTCTGCATGAAAGTGAAATTCCTTAGAAAAGCAACCCAAAAACCCACCACCCAGTCAAATAGCAATCCTCCTGTTTACCTTCGTTCTCTTCGATTTGGTTTTATGTTTTTCTTTTCATTTGGTTGCCGTGTGCTGTGAAGCATCCTTTAAAGTGCCAAGGAGCTTGTAAATATTATCTTCAAGCAAACTTGACACTTTGCTGGGGACTGCAGCACCAGTGAGTAGCGTTTTGCCAAAAATAACTACTATGTTTTAACAACAGTTACTTATCTACTTATATTCAGTTTAGAATTAAGACTATCTTTGCTCGTTTCGTCAAACTCTATTCTCTGATATTGTCATTATCAAAACGTAAGACAATCGACACATAGTACGAACACATTTGATTTTTTAAGAATGCGCTCTTTGAAGTTAAGACCTGACCCAGCTGGGAGATCTTTACTATCATGAATTAAAAACACACTTCTTAGTTTTGGAATAGAACTGCATCTATTTCGACCTATCTTTACAATTCCCCACGGTACTATAAACTGGCAGCTGGTCTTCTGTCTGAACTCGGAATGCATTAAAATTCCCATCTAAATTCTAATTAGCATGCACAGCCGCTATAAAAACAAGACTTTCGAGAGGCAGAACATCAGTTGTAAGGAGTTTGGGCCATGGGGCGACAATTGGTAACAATCTTTACAGAGTTTTCCCCGAAAAACACTAACTCTGCTTGTACCACCTACAGATTCTCGTTCTTTCGCTGATCCTGTTCTGTGGCAGCTCACATGCTGTCATCAGTGAGCTGGCCCGCCAGGGCCAATCTGCCATACAGGGCTTGGCGGACGCCAAGTTGGCACCTCTGCGCTACTTAGATGTGCTCTTTGGAGCAAATCCGGGAGGAATTCGAGGAATAAACGGTCCTATCTACCCACCTAACAGTCCAGCCGTCATATCAGCGGCTGCCGCTTTACAAGCAGCCAAACTATTGGCCAGAGGTCGTGTCTTCCCCCCTGGATACAGTTCGGTTGAAGCAGGAGTTGCCCAGGGCAGCGACCTGATCACTATAATTAAGAACAGACGAAACAAGGATCCTCCAGCACTACCAGGCGTTCCAGGATTTGATTATCCTACAGGGTTACCTCTGCTTATTGCATTAAGTCGTCTTTATGGGCCGAATCCCCAACAATGGCCACCATGGCTACCTGGTGGTCCTGGTCCTTCTGGTCGTCCTGGTTCTCCTGGTGGTCCTGGTCCAAACGGACCACTACCGGATGGATCATTCCCGAATGGATTTCCACCGGGCGGATTTCCCAACGGCGGACCCGGCCAGAATGGATTTCCACCAGGTGGACCCGGCCAGAATGGATTTCCACAGGGCGGACCCGACCAGAATGGATTTCCACAAGGCGGACCCGACCAGAATGGATTTCCACAGGGCGGACCCGACCAGAATGGATTTCCACAGGGCGGACCCGGTCCGAATGGACCGTATCCAGATGGACCTTCCCAGGATGGAAGTTCCCCAGGTAGACCAAGCCCAGGTGGATCACCCTCAGATCAACCTTCATCGGATGGAAGTTTTCTAGGGATACCTTTTCTAGGAGATCTATTGGAGCCCTGGTTGAGAATATTTCGCCTTCCATTTGACCTCATATTCCCAAGACCTGGGGTAAATGACAATCCGTCTGGAGGCGGACCTCCGGGAACTGACGATGGAGGCGGACCTGCGGGGCCCCAAGGTGGAAATGGACCTCAGGGGCCAGGAGGTGGACCTCCGGGTGGAATGGGACCTGGGGGGCCTGAATTCGGACCACCGGGAAGTGGAGGTGGAGCCGGACCTCCGGGGTCTGAAGGTGGAGGCAATCCATGGCAGCGAATTCAGATTGGCTTCCCGCCCGGAGGCAGAGAGGGGAGTGGAGGCCCCTTCGGGTTCGGCGGGTTCTTTGATACCGGAATATTCGCTGCACCTGGATTTTTTGGAACAGGAATACTAGCTTTCCCGTGGAACCCCTTCGGAATCTTCACCCCAATCGGGAACTTTTTTGAAGGAGTGGGACACCTTTTTGGATTCCCGTCCCCCCACCCTCCGTCACACCGAAACCTGCAAGGATCAATCAGCGTGGATTTCGATGCCCTGTTCCCATCACCGAAAGGCCTATTACGGCAAATGTTCCCCCTCTTGGGCTAGCACCAAGGAATCGACTAATGCAATTCAAAATCGGATCTGGCACTCTAACGCCTAGTCTTAGTTCTTAGTGTTAAGTAACGACCAGTGTCGGGGTAAAAGTAACATGTGTCTTGGCCAAGCCTTGTAATTCTAATACCCATTAATAAAGTAAGCAGCATTCCAAAATATTTGCACTTTGAATAGGGTCAGGGTTCTCAGGTGCTGTTCTATGAAACAGGATATCTATCAAAGGATCTATTTTATACTACTTGCGTGCTACTCTACATCCATTATAATATAATCCTATTTGAATCAATATGTTAATTGTAATGATTGAAATGGTTTTGGAAAAGTGTGCAAAGAGAACTCGCAAAAATCTAATCAAGTCAAGGTTAAGCCTTACAATCAATGTTCTAATAACCAAGGAAGAATGCTTAAGTCGGGTATTGGAGCTATCAGGTACCCGTTAACCTGTTAACCGAATTCTAAGTTATGCTGGCAGAAATGGACACTGTGACTGCCGCTATCTGATTCTAAAGTATAACCCATAACAGACCAAGTAGGCATTATATTCTAAATGTTCCTATAAAATGAAAATTTTTTCGACTCGAAAGGGGTATTTGTAAATCTATGATTTTCGTGGCTTGTGGGCGTGAGAGTGGGTGTGGCCAGCTGCTAAAACCACATTAGGCTGTGCTCAAAGCATCTCCAGAGTATGCTTGCTTAATCTCAATACATTGCGGACAGACGGACTTGGCTCGACCCAGCTTGACCCCTCCTACTTCATAGGGTCAAAAAGCTTCCTTCGACCTGTTTCGACCTTTTCAACCGATCAATATATAATATATAACCTTAAAGAAATATTTTAAAAAGCCTTGCACTTAATTCTTTTGCAAATTGAAGTGCTGGCTTAGACGCTGACTTCCACGTTCTCTCCACTCGCAAGTGTCAAAGTTGGCTAAATTTTAATAAATTATATAACTTTGAGGACCATAAATAAATAATAACGAAACCTTAAAAAGCTACTGAGGCATGAAAATAAAAGTAACCTTCTGTGTGCAATGAAAACTCGTTACAGTTGTGCGATTTGCATTTCCATATTTTTAATCTGCATTTAAATGTGGAAATCGTACTATATATAAGCCTAAGCTCGGGTGCTGTTGCTAGCATCTGTTGAACGTCTTTTCCGCAGACTCTGGCTTCTGTCTCTATGATGATTCGTCTCTTTGTAAGTGTTTTCAAACAATAAGAACTACACATCTTCAATCACGATTGCATTACAGGTGCTTATGATTACTTTGGCCGTGATGGCTGGTAGTGCTCTTGCTAATATCGATCGGCTGGTCGAAGCCATTACCGGCAGGCGTGCGGGAGGGGGTGCTAGGGTGGATATTCCCATTTCTTTCCACAGATTTGTCCCACACAATCCGTTTACTTTTGGATACTATTGATATGGTCGCACCTGCGTTTCTTGTAGTCAATCAGCGCTGATTCGACAATAAAAAGTATAAATAAACCAATTGCAAAATACGTTTTATAATCGATTTTAAAGTCCTCCATTTAAATGTAATTTCTTGGGAAAAACTCTTGATACCAATAACTTGTAACATACATAGAAGATAGCTTACGGTAGTTCCAATATTAGGAATGCACTAGAGGGCAGTTTGGAAAGTAAGGTTTACGTTCGATGATCGATTTGTTATCTTTTGTTATGTTGGCATGTCTACAGATCTATCTATGTTTAAGTGGGAGACATACTAGTTAGAGGTGCATTTTCACCAAATCCCTTCGCATGAGTATCGTTTTCGGTCATCCAAATGTGCTTAAAAGGGGGATCTCTCGACCCAATTGGAAGAGCCCTGCACACCATGGCCAAAAAGGATGCCAATTTCGGGCGAATGTGAAGGTTTTTGAGGGAACATAAGAACATGTTTGTAAACTCAACGAGGAAAGAACTTGAAGGAAGGACTGCTTTGAAAGTCACAAAGTGAAGTTTAGGATTTTTTCAGAAAAATTTACATTTGCCTTTCTTAAACAGACCTTGTGTTTGGGACACACGTGTCATTTCGATACAGGTAAAATATAAGCCATCCAATCCGGTCCAAAAGTCTACGCTTCACAATTCTTTACGGAACTTAGTTTGATACAAGCCCGCACTCACCTATTATCTATGAAATTAGTAATTGCGAAAGCGAGATTAAAATATTAATGGACTACAAAGCTATGAAATTAGCCTCGGGTCGCTCCCTGAAATAGAAAGCTGTTTAAATTTTTACGATTTACATTTGCATGTTTCCAATCTGCAAGTTCTAAGATATTTTCTATATAAACGAAAGTTGGAAAGAATGTGACATTATTTGCCAACGTGATATCAGGAAAGTCACTCAACCAACTCTGCAGGATGTCCCGACTATTTGTGAGTAAAATCTTTCAACTAGAGTCGTGAAATCTGAAATGTACCTTTACCTTGCAGATTCTAGCCTTCTGTCTTCTGTCTTTGCTGGCAGGCAGTGCTTTCGGTGACATTGACCGGCTAATTCACGCACTCGGCGGATCCAACACCTTTGGTTTAAATAATCCTTCCACTTCATTTGGAATAAGAACCCCTTGGAGCGGATTTTCTTTTGGCTTTGGTCGTTGAGTTCTCCGGCTGGAGATCAAGTCTTCTGCATTTTGTTATGGGCTGTGATCAGTCTGTTTGAAAACAAAAATGTAAATGTGAATATTAATATGAAACTTAAATCTAGTAAAGCGAATTGAAGCTGTAAAGTGTAGGAACGCTAATTGGTGAAGAGTCGGTTGTAATGCAGAAGCCTGAGGAAAAGTGGAAAATAAAGAAAAGCCTGTGAAGGATTTGAGAACATTATGGCGTCTACGCGTTTTGCGCAGGAAATCCTTTGAATAGGGAATGTGTCGTGAAGGTAAGATGTGAGTTGGCGGGCATTCCCACTTTTTGAGACGACAACCGCAAACCATTAACGCCCCCTCCCATCCCCGCCGCTGTTTGTTAGAGCTCTCGTCCCCAGACCTCCAGCTTTGTTCACCCACTTCGTTAGTTATGTAAATGACTTTGTTTAGTCTTCTTCTTCTTCGACTTCCTTTGTAATTCCTCCGACAGGCTGGCAACGCTGTTATTACAAACACACACACACACTGGTACCACGGGCTCACGCATGTTTTCGCTTTCGAAGGCACAGATTTTAACCCTTTGGAAGCATTACCACCCCGAAATTGGAAAGCCTTCGCTCCTTTACCTATGTAGTAGCTTATGTACAGCCAGAAAAGGGGAAATTTCCCGCTCATCACGCATGAAAATCGCGTCTATGTACGCGACTCGGTGTCTGTGTATGTACGCGCACTTGTATTGGCTCTCGTGCTTGTGTGCGTATCCTTTCGATTTCATTCTGCGTATCTCCTCTGCAGTTCTTTGTTTGGGAACATTTTTTGGTAATACTTATTAGAAGGAATCAGTTTTTGAGATTGCTTTCAAGGTTTTGCGAGAAAGAAAGACATTATCGATAAGCTAAAGTAGATGTTTAAGATGTTTTACAGATGCCAATTCAAATTGCCCTTCTAATTGGATTCAATGTTTAAAAATATAATTTCTGCTGAAAGGGAGTTATCTGAAAAGATAACTACGCCGTATTCTATATCAATCTACGAAGCATCGCTAACACGTCCAGATTTAATTCTGTCCGTTTCTGATTCTGTGACTTGCAAAACCAAAATAATACATGCCATTATTTGGAATTAAAGAAAAAGTTCCCTTTGTACGCGATGAGAATGTTGCACATCGTTCTTCAAGAACTCAAGGCCTCCAATTTCACCCCCACCCCGCTCCAAGCCAAATATAAATATGTAAAAGAAATTAAACCCTAAGAACAGCGTCTCTGTCCATGTATTTTTCTATATTCTGCTTTGATTAACATTCGCTTATAGGTGGAGGTGGCCACCGTCTTCGTCTGGGCCAAGCGACCGAGAATTTTAATTACTTATGGGGGTAGTTTTCTGCTTTCCATTTTCCTTTTTTTCGTGGAAAGAAGAAAAAGTCTCGTCTCTAACTTAAAGAAAAACAATTTTCCCGGCAGACGGCATACGTGTCTGGATAATGGGTATGCATATGCCAATAGCCTTCGAAACGGCATGGGAGAGCGAGTTCTATTCAATTACCATCCTGTATCTATTTTTATTGCGTAATCCGACGATGGCAATGACGAAGTAATAACATTCAATCCGGTTCTCTGCCTGGGGTTCATTTCGCCACGGATCTAACAACTTGACCGTGATATAAATATTTTTCCCCTGCTGACCACATGAAACCGGAAATAACATAATTGACCTCAGGGAACGGGCCAGCACCGAGGAAAGGCGGTATCGTGGAAAATCGCATCAACTGACCAATGCCCTAAGTGATTTGAGTCCAGACCTGTTGCGCTGGGTAACAGACAATCAACAGTGAACAAAGAGGGTCGTCCTGTCCAGCCGACCGCCCCTCCCCCTTGCGAACTTCCCTGTCGGTCAGTATCCGTATCTGCTTGTGCCGAGTGGTTGGACAGGGGCTGGTCAGCAGGATGGTCAGCTTCATGTGTGAGTGTCGCGTGTCCGCAGTGTAAACAAATCAATTACAGCGCTAAATGCATTTTATGAGCCCTCACTCGCATTTGCATTTTAAATTAGGCTTGTTGGAGGGGCTGGTCAGGGCTGGTCAGTTTGCGGGTCACACCTTTGTGCCTTGACCAGGGGTTATTTTATTGTTATTTAATCGGATATTAAGTTACTATTATTCTGGCTATTAACAGGATCAACAATCAGTGTCCGGTTTAGGCTACTTAAAAAGCCAACAACAAAGAGTCCTCATATCGTACTCTCCTACTTCAGATGCAATGCTCCTCTGACATCGCTTTCCATTTGCATGCCATCTGAATGCACCTGCCCAGGCCATGTCCTCATGTGCCGTGAAAATACGCTTTTATGGCACACCACTTGACTGAAGCTCAACTGGCATTCAGAGCAGTCAAGTGCGAAATAATACTCTGCCCCTCCCTTAGCTGTCGGTTGTCCTGTTGCTGCAGCTACCACTGCGGACTGCATCCTTGCAGCCTGAAAGTCCTTTATTACAGTCAACTGCGAGTCAAACGGAGTGCAACAGTCAACGTGCTTGTGCATATGCATTTCAATGCGAAGGGACGCCCTGCCCCGTCCCACTGCCCGAGGTGTTGCACATGCGGTGCAGATGCAGCCTAAGGTTGCATTATCCTTTACAAATTGTTGGCTGTGTTGATTTCCCCTTTTTTGTGTTTCAATGGGCGACTGCAAGTGCCATTGAGAGGGAGGGATTGAGGCAGAAGCGAAAGGAGCACGTCATTTTGCAGTTTTTGCACTTGAACTTTGGCAGGCAGCATCCACACAGGTGGGATTTCTCGCCCAAGTCATTTGGCAGACAAGTACATCGTTATTGGCCATTATATTAAGGGGCTTTGTTTATGTTACTTTGTCAAGTGATTGAGTGTTAAATTTACAAATAAATAAGTACATCTAAGCGTCGTATAAGTAGCTAACCGACCATCTTCTCCGCTAAACTGCGGACTACATTCTCATCGTAGTCCTCGATCTCATCGTCTCCATCATCGATGTCGACATCGTTCGGTCGCACCGGGTAGCCTTGCTCTGGGGGAACGATCTTAACGCCGTGATCACCAAACAGGAGGCAGTCGAAGTTTCTGAAATCGAACAGACGGAGTGTCATAAAAGTCGGCTCGGCTCTCACAGCCGTGGATCTTACCTCTCGAACAGCTCAAAGCCCTGAAATTCCCCGGACATGTACATGCAGACGTGCATGTTGCGCCCGACAAACCAAATATCATGGAACTGGATGCAGGCCTTAGCGAAGCTAAATCGCGGAGGCCGGAAGCAAAACGGAGGGGGATTCTGGCCGGATACCTTTTGACGGAACCAGATATTGTTGTTAACGCGCATTCGCAACTCGAATGAAAATTCTTCAGGACGATACGCGACTTCTGTGCAACTGTTCATGCCAATCACCGAGAGGAAACCTAGAATCAGACATAGATATTGATTCCGCGCTCCCGAGACTCCAGTTCTAGTCACATAGATGATGTAAACTTACCAGCACAGCACTTGCACAGTCCGGTGTCGCAGCTACAGGGTATGCGGTTCACGAGGTTGCCTAGGGTTATGTTCTGCAAACTGAGTTGCCTGGCCTCTTCCTCGTGGCTTAGTAGGTTAAGGCGGTGGTTAAGCAAGCCCAGCTGCAGAGCAGCGTCATATGCCAAATCTTCGGTCGGCGGATGTAACGGCACTACGGGAATCATTAGATTGAGCAGCAGAACAAATAATGGTGCTGGGACTTCAACCTCCCGTTGATTGATAACACAGTTTCTTTAAACATAACACTACGTTCTTTCACCAAATACTTCCTTCTTGAATCGAGATTAGTAGCTCAAGTCTCTCGATGCCAATGCAAAGACGCACAAAAAAGTAACAGAAATATAAACAAACAAACTTTGCCCAATCATCCTCAACGAACTTCCGCGTTTTATGTTAATCAGTTCCGCGTCAGGGCAACTGACGTAGCCGGCTAGCCAAGAGACGATCGCGGCGATCGTCTAACAGTTTCAACTATTAACCTTGAGTGTACAAACGAGTTGCCTGCGCCGAAGATACGGGCAAATTTTGATGTCAATGAAACCGACGGAACAGCTTAAACGAGTTGGTCATATTGAGCGCTAGGTGGTCAAGATCATGGACAGGAGAACGTCGGCAGAGAGAAACCAAAAAGTGGTACCGTTTGAAAAGTCTCTCTTTACACAGCTTTACCACTTTAAGTTTAAGGCTTTCCAAAACTGGCGAGGCGTTGTTAAAACTCAGTCAAACCCGGTATTGAATTGGAAGCACGTCTCCTCTTGTAACTTGCGACAATTGTACAATACTTAATTGGCTCAGTTAAATGTCAACTTGTTCCCTCAAGGCTAACCGTTTTGTTCATAGCTGCCCATTTAAAATAGCACATAAAATACCAATACCTTAGAATAGTTAGTCATACGAAAAGTACTTAATACCACGCCGGCTTTTTAAGGGAATTAACTGCTTAAGAATTGTAAAACACCATCACAAATATACAAAGTAATGCTTTTTATTGTACAGTTTAAGGGCGCAGTAGCTTATATTATTATCACAACCTTATATCATATTAATATTCCTTGAAACCATCTCTGACTTTAAATCCTTAAGTATTTACAAGTTGGCTAATATATACATTAGTAGTTCTTAAATTCGATAATCGAGAATAGCCCAAAACTATTGCACATTCTGTACAGCGGATCACGTGAGACACACCTTTACAAACCGATAGAATATCGGCATTGCGAAGGGGTTAATAAAGTTAATAACTAAATAGTAAAAGTAAGACATGAAATAGGAGTTTTTGGTACTACCGGTGTCCGATTTGGAGACGGCTAGAAGTGAGGCGGCACATAGTAAGTAGAAGAACAGACGTGGATGTGAGCTGGCTGCTGGCATCTTGGCGTTGGGAAGCTTGGTGCGTCGATCCGATCAGAACACGTAATTGAAAGAAGGTTATTGCTTTTGACCTGCTTTGTTGTCGGGTATTTCACGATCTTTGTTGTATTGACAAATGTTTAAGGCAGCTTGTACAGTGATCGGCTTTATCTTCGGCCTTTCCTTTGTGGTTTAGTATTGAGATTCGTAAACACCAAGTAATAAACCCGACTAAGACACGCAACTTTCGCTTTCGTGCAAAAAGCGACGAAAGTGTGTTAAACACCAACTTCAATTTTAGTTTATATAAAGTTGAGTTGCGTTTACTCGCATTTATATGTTTTTCACACTTGGCGCAGACTCAAGGCGCGGGCGCAACTCCGTACGTGCTAATGGCCAAAATACAACTGGCCAAGAAAACGGTAGCGCATGCGCATGCTAAGCGAGCGGGCCAACAGACGCCAGGCGATCAAGTATTGGCCATCGACAGCTCCACCAGCTCGTACCCAAAACACACCGTCGGAGCCAGAGACGGGCCCCAGACGACGATGACAAGTACGAAGTGCGTCAAAGTCGGCTGCCTGTGCGACTCTTTAAAAAGACATTTTTACCCTTTGAAGCTGAATGTTGACTATCATAAAGAGCCTGCTATCCCTTGCTAATAATGACTATAAAGTGCAACCTTTTGGGCAGTCCCTCATTTGAGTGGGCCTGACTTAACTATAACTAAGGTAAACAGACTTAATGGTACATCTTAAGAAGTAATAAAAACGAATTACGTTCGTCCAGGGTATACGGTTTTCGGTGAGCTGTGTCTTTAGTATTATGTTTCGACTTTAACGAAGAGAAAAACCAGTATTTTATGCATAGTTATCTTCATGAGCTTGGCGATTCGTCGGAGCTCTGTTATAATTTCTCTCAGATCGTCTTTATCTGCTGCTTACAGGGAGACTCAAGACTCTCACTTTTAGCCACGGGATCAGTTAGGTGCAGCCCGGCAAGAAAATTTATACAATTTTAATTAACTTGTTACCTTAAATGGTGTTTTGATCGTTGTTGGCCTTAGCACTTTTCGAAATCTCTTTCTCTGTTTATGCTTCAAATGTGTGGTAGCGAAATCTTACGACTTAGTTCTAACGATCTATGAGAAATATTTCCTTCGACTTGGTATAATTACCGCAGCCTGCTCATAGAACTCGATCTTTATAAAATGTATCAATGAGCAAGAGCAAACTTTCATTGCCTGAAGACATTTCTCAGCTGACGGCTTGTTTACCCACCCAATTTATTTCAGGTTTACTTTGTCTGCCTTGCCGACTTACCAATTTTGTTCTTGCGAACTGGTTGGTCGAATGACTGAGCAGATTTGATCATCGTTTCTATGATGTTTTGTATGTCAACACGACTGAAGTGCTTATGAATCGAACGACATAGAATAATTTCAGTCAGCAGCCGTTTGGTTTCTTGCTCTTGACCTAACAGCCCTGGTATGTTTAAGTAAATTAGAGGTGATATCGATATATCTAACAGATTCGGCCAAGGAATAAAGACTGGCGCCATCTGAAAGCGGCTAACAAGCCTGGACCTCGGATATGTGATTATCTTCAGCGGAACAATCAAAAATTGATTTGTGAAGCTGGCATGGCTGCTATGACCACCCCGAACGGCAGCCAGAGCATGACAATCAACGATATTTTTAGCCGGAAAATCTGCACGTAAATCATGTGAACTCAATTTCTCTTGCACAATTTTCCACTTTTGGCAAATATGTCAAAAAAGCCCTCAGGGGCCTCCGCTGAAGTCGTGAGCAAACATTCGGCTGCAGCAGGCTCTCCTTATCCGATGCTGCTATTGTTTGGTAGCATCTTGTGGCCTAATAATACCATGTTCACTCATAACATGCTATCAATCACTCAAACCTCGTATCTTTCGCTGTGCAACGGATGGTTTTCCGATCTCGGTAGGCCCAAGGAGGGAGTAGGGCGTTGCAGACGCTGAGGGGAAAGTCCACTTGATAATTCGCATGTGAAAATTTGAAAATCGCTGCTGAGTCTGAACCAGATTTCGAAAGGCTATGCATGCTTGATTCGAAAACGAAAGCCGCCGATTAGATTTATCAACTTTTCCAACAGAAAACATTAAATTTTTACAGAAGGACATTTACTCAGAGGTTCTGGGTATAGTCTTATTCTACGTATTAAGTTGTTTTATGAAAACGATTTTCGTCCGGCTGTGGCTGAGTTTCAAGCCACTTTAACATAGCTGGAGGTTTCGAAAAAATATCCCCTTGAATTCCGCTTGAACCATCCTTCGTTAGCAATCATTTGGGGTTATAATTAACCCTCTTGCATGAGCAACATGTAAAAGGTTATTCTGGCAGCCCCTGCACCAGCCAGCCACTTCATCGCGTATCTGAAAATGAAAAATATGAGAACAACAAGTCGGAAGAACAAAAATTAGTTTGTTCTTTTTTGGATGAAACTGCCGAAAAATGAAAGAATTGCAATATGCAGCCATATATTCTCTAAGGACACTTGACTTTCGGCTTCTTTGCCTTTCGTAGCTCCAGCCAAACAGCCGAGCAGCCCAACAGCCCAACAGCCCAACAGCCAAAGAGCCAAAAAGAGGGGGCGCCACATCGGCTGTTGACAGCCCTTGCTTTGCCCGGCCGGAGTCATAGACTTTTTGTGAACTCTAGACATTTGGCGGTGCCAATTAATTAAGCGAAATAAAAGCCAAACAAGCTGCAACGGGAGTAGGAAGCGTTCATTAGTAGCTGCCAAGGGTGGCAGAGGGAGTGGGTGGCCCGGAATGGTGTAAGGATTGCACAGATTCTGCAATTCAATTTGAAACTCATGCAATTTGTTTCCTTCAAAATGCTGAGCTTTAATTCGCAATTAGTGCAATTCAATCAGCGAAGCGCCGCTCTGGGGGAGATGCGTTCGGGTGTCTGCCGTGGTCTGGCCGCAGACGTGGACGGGCTGAGGTTATCCACGACGCCTTTTACCACCTGCGGCTTGCGGTGATTACGAACAACATGAGCATAAAAATTGCTTACGTTTGTAGACAAAATCTTGGCCACTAGGAGGCGGGCGCCTGCCGATGGCTTGGTTCGGTGGTGTCGTTCAGGGAAATCGGAGAACTGGAACTGAGTCTTCATCTGCATCTGAATCTGAATCTGAATCTGAGCGTCTGTGACGCCGGATCTTCAGGTTATCGATGGGCGCGTGACACGCTCGTGAAGAGCAAGTCTCCAAGTCAGACCGCGACTTGTTAAACCAACCAAATCTCGTAGCCGCAGTGGTGTCACGAGTCCATCCCTTGTTGAACCTGAGCTTTTGTCGGTGCCTTACAACTTGCTTATGACACATGATGCAGTTGATGGAGATTGCCGTCGAGCGGCTATCGACAGTCCTCTGAGGGCCAGAAACTGGTGCTTAATTTAGATTAAACGACTTACTGAACACAATTTATTGGCGAAAACTTTAATTGAACTGCAACAAGCTGGAGGAGGGGCCCGAAAACAGAAATTTGTAGGTGGTCAGTCTTCTGTCTGGCACCAGGAGATGGTCTTTGCCATCTATTGCTCATGTGCTGGTGGCTTCGTGGCCATTGATCACGACTTCTTTGCCTTGCCTTATTCCCTACACTATGTTTCCGATTATAAACATTTACTTCCAGATCTTGGCCCAGTAATGGACTCCCTGGAAGACTTATTTCACCATTTTAGTTTGCTTGTTACACAATTTGCAAGATGGCTAGCATGTGGGTTGAAAGAGACTTTATCGTATCCGTGTTACTGTCCGGCTGAGTAGGAGCTGGCCAGCGTTCCCTGGTACCACCTGTTGATCTTCTAGTAGGGGTCATGTCCCCACTGGGGTGCCTTGTGAAGTTATCCCTGCAGCTTGTTAACCTGATGCTCCTTGACTGCTTTATGGAATCACATTAATATTTCCCAGTTCCTGAAGCCAGCTTAGTCGAACATCCAATTCACATTCGGTGAACACGCACTGAATATTGCCCATGTCAAATGCTCAAGCCAGTAAGTTGATTGCACTTATCGTTAAAAACTGAAACCAACTCATTTCCATGCGTACTCAGGATGTATTCTTGTGCGGATCCAAGACTGCCTTGACGCAGTCACGTCCCATATGATGGCGATGAAGACAGAGCATGGCAATCACAGATGCAGGAAATCCAATCAGCACAGCAACTGGCGGAGGGATTAGATGGCCCAAGTGCAGTTCGAACTTCGAAACAAAACAATCTATCACGTATGTAATTCCCAGGAAAAATTTTCACAGGGGCTGTGGTATTGATGATGATGGAGATGCTGGGCAGAGATGACGGCAAATACCGAAAACGGGAGCCAAATTGTTGAAGGTGGAATAATAATTTCGAGCAACCGAAAGGAAAACGCAGTTGGGCAGCTCGTGAGTTAAACGCTTGGGGTTTGGAGCGTGGCCAATCGATTCGCCAAACGCAACGCACATGATTGAAGTGCACTAGTTTTAATGCATTTGGACCTATCCGAGTGCATTAGGCTGTGGGAGTTCAACCCTAAGTTCAGCTCAATTTGCGGCGGAGCAAATAAAATGCTATCTGCACGATCTGGGCAATCGATCGCCCGATCTTGCGATCTTCCGATCGCCCGACCGCTGCCCTCGGTGCGTTGTTGTGGCAACACGTAGAGACCCAATTTTTTAGCATTTCGCCAGCTACTTGTTACGGGTCAGGCGGGGAGCCAGCTTCATCATCAATTCCGTTCGGGCTTCTCAGTCTCATAATCCCATGTTTGTTTGCATTAGCCACCGCAGACAGGCTGCAATTATGTCGTTTGGGGTTTGATGGCAACCCAACCGGTACTGTGACTGTCGGAGAGGCCCGACTTGTGAGACGAGCGCAGCTTCAGTTCACTTTTCGGGGGGAAAGCAATCCTCCCAAGTCACTGAGCCTGTACCCTCACCTAAGGAGGCACTGCGACTGGAAGGCCAGCAGGGAGCAGAGCGACTTCTTCGGTCCAATTAGACCGGATAGGGTATTCAGTGTTTCATCACTCTGCCTATTTATTGCCGATTTGATTGCTGCAGACTTTGTGGCGCATATGAATTATGGGTTCAGTTCGGTTTTCAAATCGGTAGTCGAGTCACATTCCTTTGGTCTGCACTTTGGCTTTGTGCCTCGGCTGTACTCCGCGCTCAGCCCGACGTTCCCATTGTCGGTTAGTGGACCATGGGAAGTAGTGTCCTCAGCTCCAAACTTATTGCGGCGCGTTATAACGCGTGCGAAACGCTTGAATGCAGTCAACGAACCGCACGCTCCGTTGCCTCATCTGTCTGTTTTTTTCGCGTCGCCTGCTTTTCATTTTTCCACATTTCTCAAAATTAACACTTCGCCACACTCTAGCTCCCCAACTCACTCTCTCCGAATTCTGAATTCGTAAATGCGCA